TTGTCCATCAGGGTTTGGGGGATCATGGTGTTGAAGGCGGATGTGAAGTCCACAAAGAGCATACGGACGTAAGAGTTTTTCTGCTCCAGGTGGTTGAGAGCAGTGTGGACCACACTTTTAGTTTCACAAGTGGATTTTTTAACAGAAACTCTCCTCTGGACACAGCAGGTTGTCCTGCACTAAGACCATGTGAGGTTTAGCTTAAGAGGTGGCTTGATCAACGAGCTAAGACCAGCACAATGTGTCCTGGTGCTGAAGTATTTTCACCCCTTTGAGCTCTGTTGGAGCTGCCTGCAGTTCTGCTTAGTGCCAACAGGGGGATATGATCAATCTGATTAATGCGGGCAGTGTCCTGTGCTGCTCCATAACTACAAATAAGTTAAAAACCGAGAATGACTCAGCAAAGAACATTTTAAAGTTGTTTAAATAGTTGAAAAATGCACAAAAATACACAGTAAGCAAAGTTATTAAGTCATTTGAGTAAGAGGAATTGCTTTGTCGGGTGAGGTGGCTGCGGTAGGTCGGTGGTCAGTGCCGTGGTCATTAATCCTGAGGTTGCGAGTTTAAGCCCAGGTTGCCTCATGAAGGGCATCCGGCATAAAACACTTGTCAAATCTTCCATGCGAGTTTGCTCGCTGTGGTGACCTCTGAAGAAGGGAGCAGCAGAAAGAAACTCACTTTGTTGGGTGAATGATTCATTTTTTTAGGTGATGCTGAGACTAACAATCCTCTTGTTATTTATAATGTGTTTGAGCTCCATATCCCTGATCTTTCAGCATGCTGTAAATTTGTTTTTGCAGCATTGCTTTGACGAAGCAGAACTTCACTCTGAAGTATGACACCAACATTCCTCGACAAGTGGTGAGAATCCATTTAAATAAAATAAACTAAAATGCTATCATTAAAACAACATTTTCACACTTCATGAAAACATCTATTTTTAATTTTAGGGACTTGCTGGAAGCAGGTAAATAGCTCTTCGATTGGTTTTCTGTTCAATATAATCTAAAGATGGATTTTCACATTTTGATATTAACCACTGACTTGGTTACAATCTTCTCTCCACAGCGCCATTATTTCAGCTACTCTGAAGTGTCTCATGAGGTTCTACAAGATCACAGACAATGTAAGTGTTTTTGATTTATGACTCGTGGTATCAAAGCCACCACTCTCTAATTTGTTCCACTGTGGTGCTTTAAAGGATCTCCCTAAACCAGTTCGAGCTAACTTCATCCTCAGTGTGGAGATGGATGAGCTGTTCATTACTGCTGGTCTACAGGACAGAGTTGTGCAGGTAAGGAAAATATTCAGACCATCATCAGCTGTGAGCTTAACCTTACCAGCTGTGTACAAAACCTCAAACTGTCACAGCGACAAAGACTAGACTAAGTTATTTGATGACTAGGATCATCAAACCTTGAAAAGAGCATTATTTTATTTTATTTTTTATCTTTATTTACACAGGTTAGTCTCTTTGAGTCACGAGGACTCATTTTTCAAGAGAGACCTGTTTTAGACAGACAACATATATAAAGTATAGACAACAAAACGCAATAAAAAAAAAAAACAGTGTGACAAAAACACTGCTACTGTTAGAAGCATGGTCTGTTAGCAGTGAGGTCCTGCTAGCAGCATGGTCCAGCCAACAGCGTGGTTCTGTTAGCAGCATGGTACTGTGAACAGAGTGGTTCTGTTAGCAGTGAGGTTCTGTTAGCAGCATGGTACTGTTAACAGAGTGGTTCTGTTAGCAGTGAGGTTCTGTTAGCAGCATGGTCCAGCCAGCAGTGTGGTCCTGTTAGCAGAATGCAGCATGGTCCCATTAGCAGCATGGTCCCATTAGCAGCATGGTCCCATTAGCAGCATGGTCCCATAAGCAGCATGGTCCCGTTAGCAGTGTGGTTCTTTTAGCAGCGTGGTCCAGCCAGCAGTGTGGTCCTGTTATCAGCGTGGTCCCGTTAGCAGCGTGGTCCTGTTATCAGCGTGGTCCCGTTAGCAGTGTGGTCCTGTTAGCAGCATGGTCCCATTAGCAGCATGGTCCCGTTAGCATTGTGGTCCCATAAGCAGCATGGTACTGTTTGTTACATATATCCTCAGATGATGCTAGTGTTAAAGAAGAGTGTGGATGAATGTTGTGACGCTATAACAGTAGCAATCACAGGGCTAACAGAAAAATGTACAAAGGAAGTAAAATGCAAAATACGATGTTATCCGTGGTTAAGTCCCAATTTTATTAAACTTAGGAAAACTCGAGATACAGCACTAAAGAAAGCATTAAAATCAAAGCTCCTTACCGATCTCTTGTCATACAAAAGTTTGAGAAATAAGGTGGTTGTACAACTACGTAAAGCTAAAGTTTCTTATTACATTCAAGTCATAGAGAGGGCAAGGGGTGATAGCACTCTGCTTTGGAAATGCTTGAACAATTGAACTAATACAAAGAGTCAAAATAAACGTATTAAAGAACTTCTTATAGATGGTACAATTATCTCTGACAGTTTAGCCATGGCAAATGAATTCAACTCTTACTTTGTACGATCAGTGGAAGAGTTAACTCAGCATTTTTTACCACATATTTCTACACAGGTTGATAATCACTACGTTCAGGAGGTGTCACAAGATTATTTTTATATTAGACAAATTGATGAAAGAAATACTGCGCAAATCATTGCAAATCTGTCTAACTCAAATTCAAATGATGCCTATAATACTAACTGTGGCTTTTTAAAGAAATATACAAATACTCTAATTAAGCCATTGACACATTTAGTTAACCTATCAATTAGTACCTCCATATTTCCTTCAGGGTGGAAAAAGGCAGTTGTTGTATCTATACATAAAGAGGGGAGACAGGATTCTGCAAATAATTATCGACGTATATCGATCTTACCTGTATTATCAAAAGTGATTGAAAAAACTGTAGTAACTCAACTGACTGATTATTTGGAAGCTAATCAGCTCCTCCACCCATTACAGTTTGGTTTTAGATCCGGGTACTCTACCGAGATTGCCAACTGCTGCTTGGTGAAGAATATTAAGAAGTTTCTTGACCAGGGAAAGGTGGTTGGGGCAGTACTTTTAGACCTTAGAAAAGCGTTCGACACAGTAAGTCATAGTCGGCTGCTATCTAAAATGTCATCTTTTAAAATTTCAGATGAAGCTGGTTTACTTCATATCTCCAAGACAGGCAGCAATGTGTTAAAGTGGTTCAAGAAAAATCTTCATTTTTAAACATCAAAATGGGACTTCCACAGGGCTCTATATTAGGGCTGCTGTTATTCAGTTTCTTTATAAATGACCTACCTCTTGTATGCAATGCTGTAAATTGTCAACTTTACGCAGATGATGCAGTATTTTATGCACCTGCTAAGACACCACAACAGATGTCTTGTCTGCCTGTATGGAGGAAGTGAACCGTTGGTTATTCAATAATGAGTTGGTAATCAATTGAAGTAAAACAGTGTCAATGTGCTTTTCCATTAGAAAACAACATGTACATTTTCAAATTTATTTACAAGATGAAATTATTAAAACTTAACAGAATTCAAATAACTTGGGCTGTTTTTAGATCCACATCTAAAATTTGAGAATCATATAAACAACATTTCCAAAAAAAGTCAAAGAAACCTTAATTGTTCCACATTAATAAGACCTTATATTCCTGTACAGGCTGCTCTTCAGCCATGATGGCATGCCATGATATTCTCTCATATCTCATATTGTATGACGTCATGGGCCCAGGCTACTACAACAGCTATTAAGCCAATGGTGTCATTGTATAACCGAACAATAAAAGTAATGGACAAAAAGCCAATAAGATCACATCACTGTCTAACCTTGGACAAACATAACTTAATGAGTTTTGAAAGATTTTCTAACTTATGTTTTCTTAAATTAATTTTTAAGTGTATCAATAGGTTATCTCCTCATCACTGAGCTCATTTATCCAGAAGCAAAACAGTTGCAGAGTCACCAGAGGATCTTTAGAACAGAACTGCATAACTCCCGTATGTAGAACCTCGTTTGCTCAGACCTCTTTTTCCTATAAAGGCACAACATTATGGAACTTATTGCCCCCACATGTAAAAGCTATACCTGAACTTAAAAAGTTTGTTTACATGACTAAATCTTGGCTAAAGGAAAATCAAAGATGTGATCATTTTTAATACTTGGATTTTATGGATGCAAAAGTCTTTGTGGGAGTGTATGTATTAGTGAGTTAGTATTATATTTACAATGTTTAGTATGTTAGCTGAATGTGTGAGGATGGGGACGTATTCAGGATGTGCTAGGTTATTTATGTACATTTGTGGGTTGCAAGGTTATTTTAGAATTTGTAGAGGAAAATGTTTTGTGTTTTTATTGTATTTAGATTTTTAAATTGTTCGTATTTTAATGTATAGTTTTTATTATATGTATTTGGATGTAGTTAGGTTGATTACATGAACATGTAGGCAGGAATGCGTAGGTACTCTTACTGTATTTTGATTGATAAACTGTATGTATTTTAATGCGTAGAAATGCCCAAGCCGGGACTGGAGTTGTGAATTAGCTGTAGCTATGTACTCTTTGTGCAACGCATCAGTCACAGACTTGTTGTGTTCTATGTTTGTGTGCATTGTCCCTGTCAAATAAACTAATTAAATAAATAAAGGGAAAACAGGAAGTCAGTCATACTTCTGCTTTTCAACCCATTCACTTTCTGGCCTCTGAAGTCACCTGCAAAAAACTGATCATTACTCCTGCATGTCCTCAACAAACTCAATAAAAACTGAAGAAAACCATATTATAAAATTAGAAACAGACCTGGAAAAACGAGAGAATTAAAAACAGAATTGGTTAGGATGTTGAAATCTCGCTGTTTTTCCACACAGCAAACATATGAAGCCACGGTTCGAGCGGGCGCTCTTCAAGACATCAGGTTTAATTTTAATTGTATTTATTTATTCAACACCACAAACTGTATGTTACACAAACACTGATGATTAAACTGAACACATAAAAAACACGTCAACTGTAAACTACATTAATGAACTGACTCTTCCTCTGTTTTCATCCTGGATGTCCCACGTTGTTCATCTGGCTCGTCCAGGCTGTCACTCCTTTGATTAATGCAGCTTAAAACATTCAATGGATTGAATAAAAGAAATGAGGGGCATCTCTCTCTTCACCTCCTGCACTGCACCTGGGCCGAGCCTCGTTCAGAACCGGACCGCCTGGTGGGAGACAGCTTCTTCTTCTTTCAGGAAAAATAAAAACTCAGTTGGTTGTTGTGTGATCAAAGTAAACACAAGCTAACATTATTAAGAACGTTGAGTTACCTGCTGTAAATCAGCTGCTGATTATCACGGAGTAAAGTCCGACATCGTCGACTCGGTTCTGGTCCACTCAGCGACCGGTGTGGAACTGTTAGATGATGCGGTCATGCTTGGCGTCAAATCTGTCGACTCTTATCCACAATCCAGTCAGACTCCAGCATTAACTTGTTGTTAAGTTGTTAGCTGAGCTTTTAGCCCACAGGAACGGAGCGGGCCGAGGCAGCGCACATGCGCATTAGGTGAAGGTACAAAATTCACAGCGCCATCTAATGACATGGCATGGGCCATATTTAAAGTACTTTGTGGTACTTTTTTCCATTCATTTTAATCTGATTGGAGGTACTTTTGTGTTATTCAGTCCTTTTCTTCAAGTTGCAGCACTTCAGGTCTATCAGGCCTTTCCATTACTTAAAACCACTTATTGCTCATGTATACAGTTGATCAGTTGTTCAACATAATACACACCATTTCGGTTGTGAAGAGATTAACAAGATAATAATCAAATTAAAATGTGATGACTGTCTTTGTTTTAACCTATTAATTTAATAGAATTAGTATTAATTCTCACTTCACCCTAAACCACAATTTGTTCACTTTTATAAATACTTACAGAATATTCTTATTTCTTATTACCAAAATAATCTGATTTAAGTATTTCATTATAAAAAGAGATAATGAGAAAACATATAGTGACCAAGATTAAATTTGAGTGATTGCTGGTTCGGCTCTCTGACACGTGTCAGATTTTTCATGCGGCCCCTGAAGAAATTAATTGCCCACACCTGCTCTAGATTGTCCTTTTGGTTGCCATTTTGTTTTGATTTGTTACAAAAAAAAAAAATATATATATATATATATATAAAAGAAGAAACTTAAATTTGTATGCCTATTTTATGACTGTCTATTGTTGTCGTCATTATCCATTGTTTTCATCACTCTTTGTTATAAATCAGGTCTCTCTTGTAAATGAGTCCCCGAGGCTCAGTGGGATTAACCTGTCTAAATAAAGGTTGAATGAATGAAAAAAGTGACTGCAGTCTGAACAGTCATGTCACATTTCATCCAACTTGTGCA